TGTATTTTCTGAATTTGTAGAGAACTTTACAGTTTTCATGCATCTTTTTACAATATCTATGCCATCAATTCTAAAGAACTTATTAAGTCAGAAAAAGTACTAATGTAACTAATGTAATGTAATGTAACTAATCCTGGTAGTGAAAAAAAATGGTGACAAGAATGCTTGCCCCAGACCTGACGATCATATCTGGGCCTTTAAAAACAATACACAACTCAATAAAAGGCAAGAATTTTAGGATTATCAAGAAATTAGTTTTTGTTATACAATAACACAAAGTATCTCTAAGGACAAAGTAAACTAATTTGAGAATAGCCAAATCCATAGTTGGTTGCCTAGAAAGTATAATGCCCAGTAGGTTATCTCCTTAATTGTGAGTATACATTTGTTTGTTCTTGTTTTGAAAAAAAAATCATTTTATGATTTTGTTTAATCAAAGGGGTCTATGTATTTTTTTTTCAAACAGAGACAATTCGTATTTTAACTTCAAAGTAGCAGAGATCTTTATGTGTTAAAAATAATATTTTTTCTTTTTCTGTTAATTTCATCCTGATAATTTGACTTTTTATGATATGAGAACAAATTTTGATAAGACACTTTGAGTCCTTCATAAATTTTTTTCAATTATCTTTTATTTGATGGCTGTCCTGCAAATTTGAAAACATAAAATGAAAATTATAATGTAGAATTTTTAAGTAACTTCTGAAGTTTACTTTTTATATATTAATAATAAAGTAATTTGATCCTATGTAATTAAATTTGTCCTCTGTTTTTCAATAATTTGAACTGTAGAGTTGACTTTTTGTTATGATTATACCAAACATCTACTACCTTATTTACATAGAGACACCTCAGATTATGTATTGTTTTGGTTGAGGGTAACTAGAAAGGGGGGGAATTTATGGTGTGGAGAAAATTTGTCCCCACTCATAATTAAACAACCATGAAGATACATGCCTCAGTCAGCAAAAGCAGGAATCAACATTATGGAGTGAAAATTAACGAGTCAGACACCCAAGCATCTACTGTATCTGCCTGCCGCTAGACACTGAAGCATGGAGAACAAGATACACCTCTATGGATGGGTAGCTTTCCTTATTAAAGAAACAGAGTGGGAAGCACAGTAGGGGAACATACTAAAACAAGGCTTTGTAGTAATTTCCTTGAAAGAAATTTCCCAAGATAGCAACTTTAAAAGCTTTTAATCTTATGACTAGCTATACAGTGTGATTTGCATTAGGTGGTATTTAAAAATTCCATTAGTTTGCAACAGATCTGATATTTTCCCAAACTCTTCTCTCTTCCTTTATTTTTTCCTTGTAAAACATTTGTTTTCTTAACTCATTAAAGTGAATACATATTTGTGAGTTTGAATCCCTTTGAAAAACTTTCTCAATGATATATTTCCATTATTTTTTAGTTATTTCCATTTTGAATGAAAAATGTGACTTAGGAATTGACATAATGGTGTCACTGGATAAAATGATGAATTTTCATGCTTACATTTCCTGCTTCATTCATTTAATGCCTCCCATGTTTCATCAGGTGAATACTGAAGGTAATTTGACATCCTTTTACTTCTTATAAATTGCACAGAAGGAAGACTCAAGGGCTGTAAACTTACATCAGAATATTCATTTCTAATGGTTGAAAATAAATATTTCAAATGCCAGTTTTGAATCTCTGTTTACATCCTGAAATAGTAGTTTCTATTGTGGACTTTTTTCCCCCCCTCAGATCCTTCTTGTATTTTTGGAAAATTATTTCTTTTCTTTTGAACTTGAGTGTGTCTGTTGTTTACCTTACCCATTAAATATATCTAAACAATGAAAATCTTGAAAAATTACCATCTAAAACTATTGAAAGAAGATTTTGTGATTTGTAACCCATTGATGGAACATGGTTGTGGATATTTAATATGTTTTAAGTGGATGTCTAGTGATGTAACCAGGGTTTTTTAATATAATGATTCTATTTATATATATTGTACTTTTAGATAATTTTAAGGTTTTGATTAGACAAAGAGTGGAAACTGATATAATTTAGAATAAGTTAACCATAGGCAGGCTCAGAGACTTTGAATTCCAAAAAGAAAACATACAGTATTTTATTTAATTATTTATCCTATTCTTATTTATTAATTGTAGATTTACATAAACCAACCCAACCATCAGGGATACACTCTGAATTTCACATGATTCTTTCAGAAACTTATAAATGTAGAACTTAATCTAACTTGACTAAGTAGCGAATAATATATACTGAGCAATAGATAGTTAACATGCCTTCTTACCAATTTTGACTTGTAGACATTTTATGTAGACATTAATAGCAACACTTTAAAATAAAATTTTCCTTTTGAGTTTCTATTTTAAAAATACACACAAAAAATCTATTGACAAAGATGCTTATTTACCTTCTTGTTTAGTAATATAATTATGACTTGAAGATATTTGCATTTTCCTCATAAAGAAGAGCCACAAGAATATTGCACATGTATAAGACTTAAGAAGAGGTAGGACGCTTGGGTGGCTCAGTAAGTTAAGCATCTGCCTTCAGCTCAGGTCTTAATTCCAGAGTCCTGGGATCGAGTTCCACATCAGGCTCCCTGCTCAGTGGGGAGCCTGCTTCTCCCTCTGCCTGCCACTCCCCCTGCTTGTGCTCTCTCGTTTTCTCTCCTTCTCTGACAAATAAATAAATAAAATCTTTAAAAAAAACTTGAGAGGAAACACAGTGAAGGAATTTACTTATATGCTGTCTTCATTTTAACACAAAATGTTTTTAATATGCTGATATTAATTCTGTAATTGGTACATATCAGAAATATTTTTTCCTTTGAAATAACATTTGTAAATTTCAATTTCATAATGTTGGTTTCTTTCATTATATCTGATCATTTTTTCCAGCAAATTTAATCTTCAAGTTAACTTACCTACTCCAAGAAAAAGTATTTTAAGTAACAGTTTATGTGTCTAAACCGTCTTTATTTTACCTATTTGATTTTTGTTGTTGTTGATAGTGGTCTGAGATTGTATGGAAAAAAATTTTATTTTTTTACTGTGGTTATGTTTTTCAGTGTTGGGGATTAAAGATGTATATATTTAAATGATTACAAATCACTTTTGCATAGTTTTGAAAGATTATGAATTTTAAAAGAAGAATAAAGGGAGTTACTGAGATGATTATTTGGTAATGGGATGATGTTGTATTATAAAACTCATACAACCTATCATTTTTAGTAGTTCATTTATTGTAACATCAAAACCTAACTTCAGTAGTTACAAGATTTAGACTGAAAGTTATCCATTGTTTCCTTAAAAATCGAAACATATTTTTTTAGTTTGAGTTTTAAGTTAAAAATCTGATGCTCATAAAGTAATGTAAAACAGGTTTCACATCATTATTATAGTTGCTACTATAACACATGTATTTTGTAGTTCTTAAAATATCATGCACAAAGTCTTAGAAATGTGGAATATTTTCATGGTAAGAGAATACATTTACATTTCTACATTTCCAAAACATCAATGTGGCTGTGAAAGGAAAATACATTTCAACTTATATGCATATGTTACCAAAAATGATTAGATCTAATTTTATTTGTTTTATATATACAAATAAAATTCAAAGGATTTGATAATTCCTGCAGAGAAAGTTAATCTATTTTTAACTACAGCTTTACTTTTATAATCTATCCAGTGCTTCGAATTCTGCCATTGATCTATGATTTATGAGATTTAAACCACCTCTTAGCTGTAACACTGGTTTCTGTCCAAGATGCTGAGTTGAATACTAATTACGAGATCAAATTTATGCTGCTGGGCTAAGCAGATGAATGAGTTCTCCATAAAGGACTCCTTTCTCCATCCCTGCCACAGTTGAACCTTAAGAAAGTATCTGTCAGAGAAAAGGATAAGGAGAGAAATAAATGAATCAGAGAAAAATGTCTTATTCTATATATTTTAGTATATTAAATAATTGTTTTTGAATCACACATATACAGTCATGAATAGAGATGTGGTCATGCAGACAGGAGACATAAACCATAATTTATTAATTGTGTGTGTGTGTTTCCATGTCTGGGAACATAGAATAAATGCTCAAATTAATATTCATGACTTTATTTAAAACCCAAGTTAAATTAATTGCTAGGATCCACTCCACAGAGTAGCAAAGCTTTCATGCTTTAACTGTACTTGAAATTTCCAAGCAGCAACCCAGTATTGGACCATAGATAACAAATTATTCCATTGGAAGGGAGGGTGAATTTGTTAAGGGAGTAATTTAAGAAATGTAGGTAACTGACTAGTTTTCTATTAAGAGCAGTGGTACTCAACTGAGAGTGATATTGTCCTCCTGGGAACACTTGGCAATATCTGGACACATTTTTGGTTATCACAACTGGGGGGTGAGGTGTTATTTGGCATGTGGTGGGTAGAGGCCACCAATGATGCTAAATAAACATTTACTACATACAGGACAACTCCTCACAACAAATAATTATCTGGCCCCAAATGTCAACAGTGACACTCTTGAGAAACTTTGATCTAGAAGTACCATAACCTATCAGCTACTAAGCATGTTTGTAGATATTGCTGGAAAATGACAATAATTGGTATTTTTTACTTCACAAACTAAAACCATGAAAATAACTGGACCAAACAAATGGCAATGATAGGATGTAGAGTGGTAAGATATAGCTGTGACACAGCACCACAATTGTAGAAGAATGCAAAATTAGAAAGGCCACAATCTGAAATGTGACTCAATTTCAGTGAGGCCTCTGAATTTAGTTTGGTTTGGCTTTTAGAAGAAGCTGGCCAGGCTTCCTTCTGCAACAAGTGTGGGTCACGCTCTTTCTCATTCTCTTTCTGCCGCCATCTTGGTTCTGCGTTCCCCTCACAAAGCGCCTGGTGAAGCCACAGAAACCATCCCTGCTACAGAGCAGGAGCTGCCACAGCCCCAGGCTGAGACAGGGCCTGGAACAGAATCTGACAGTGATGGATCAGTATGAGAGCTTGAGGAATAGGATTCCACAACAGGCAACCACACAACAGGCCCAGCTGGTAGCAGCCACTGAAATCGATGAAGAACAAGTCAGTAAAGCCAAACAGAGCCGGCATGAAAAGAAGGCATGGAAGGCTATGTCCAAACTGGGTCTTCGACAGGTTACAGGGGTTACAAGAGTCACTATCTGGAAATCTAAGAATATCCTCTTTGTCATCACAAAACAAGATGTCTACAAGAGCCCAGCTTCAGATACCTACATAGTTTTTGGGGAAGCCAAGATTGAGGATTTTTTATAAAGTCTTTTTTTTTAAAGATTTTATTTATTTATTTGAGAGAGAGAATGAGAGAGAGCACGAGAGAGAAGAGGGTCAGAGGAGAGGCAGACTCCCTGCTGAGCAGGGAGCCTGATGCGGGACTCGATCCCGGGACTCCAGGATCATGACCTGAGCCGAAGGCAGTCGCTTAACCAACTGAGCCACCCAGGCGCCCTGCCAAGATTGAGGATTTATCTCAGCAAGCACAACTAGCAGCTGCTGAGAAATTCAAATTTCAAGGTGAAGCTGTCTCAAACATTCAAGAAAAAACACAGACTCCAACTGTACAAGAGGAGAGTGAAGAGGAAGAGGTTGATGAAACTGGTGTAGAGGTTAAGGACATAAAATTGGTCATGTGTCAAGAGCAAATGGGTCAAGAGCAAAGGCAGTCCGAGCCCTGAAGAACAACAGTAATGTTATTGAAAATGCTATTATGGAATTAACAATGTAACCATCTGAAAATGAGAACTTTTTTTGGTGTTTCAAAAGAATAACTGCAGCTTGGTTTGAAATTTGTACTGTTTCTATCATTAATAAAGTTATGGCTTCTTGTTGGATGAAAAAATAAAGAAGCTAAGCCCCTCATTCTCCATATATACATGCAAACCAACTTCATTTTTTTTTCCTTTGAGGCCATCCAAATTTACATTTATGTATTGTTAATATATGCATTCACTTTTAAATTGGAGATCTGTATTCCTATTTGCATATGGGTCAGATCCTTTTAGGTATCTTTGTAACTCATGGCAATTATACAATTGGATCATTCTTGAGACCGTTGTGTTATTTAACCAGGTCTTTATTGTTTCTCCAGGATTTGACTAAGTCTCCTTTTTATAAAGATTTTTTATTTATTTATTTGAGAGAGAGAGAGGCAAGGAGAGCATGGTGAGGAAGGGCAGAGGGAGAAGGAGAGTGATAAGCAGACTCCCTGTTGAGCACAGAGCCCAACATGGGCTCCATCTCAGGACGCTGAGATCATAACTTGAGCTGATGTCAGACATTTAACCAACTGAGCCACCCAGGCATCCAGGAATTGACTAGTTCTTAAACTGAACTCACTCAATAAAATGTCAAGATAAAAAAGCAATGAAGCCCCAATTTCTATACTGTAATAAAAGCTTTTTGTGTGTTCTGATTGGTACTTTAAACTGAAGAACTCAGAAAATGTGTGTGTCTGTGTGTGTGTGTGTGTGTGTGTGTTTAATGTTAGGAATGCCTGTTGATATTAAACTTTAGGTTTAAAAACTCTCCATCACATCTTGTGATAAGATGAGGATGCCTCAGTTGCCATAATGGAATTGGACTGAATAGAGGAAATGGAAGCTAAAATTAGAACATTTCCTAGTTCTGCTATATCAATTTATTAAATTCTGTGTTAGTATTCTCATCTATAATTTCAGAATAAGAGTACCTACATTATCTGGTTGTTTATGGTTTAGATAAGTTAATGTATGTATGTCCAAAGAAGGGCAATAATAAATCAGCTCATTATTATTAGCTTTGAAACCTGAAATTATCATTTAGCAGGAACAATTCTCCAAAGAAAATCCAGTCCCCCAGCAAAACTTGTTTAAAAAAAGGGGAAGAGTCTAATACAGTAGTTGGCAACAGGGAGATCCAACATGGAATAACAGTTTACCTTGACAGATAATCTGACCATAGTATTAAGGAAGTCAGGGAATTGTGACATTTGGAGAACCAAATAAGCAGGCAAACTCTGACATCAGGGAAGGCAATCTGTAGGTATTAGGGCCTTGGCCAAGAATGAGTGTTCAGGGGGAGAGATTCTATGTCCTGAAGGAGAAATGACAAAATTCATCACTACCACAATTAGATTCTAGGAAAGCCATTCTTTCAGACAAATGGGACTGGAAGCAAATAAAGGGCATTCTTTAATAGATTTTAGGTAGTACCACTTGAAGTCTAGTACTACAGTGGTTTTGTTGTCAGTAACAGCCCTTCTCTCCTACCTCTCTTTCCATAATGTATGCAAAATATAAGAGATTAGGATTAATAGAAGAGATTTACACAACTGTAATAATACATGAATTTTCCTTTAAGGAAGTCTATTGATCTTAATTCTAAGAAAGTTTTAACCAGTCCATTAGGGTAGTACTTTAAAATTTTTGTCTATAGAGGTGCCTGGGTGGCTCAGTAGGTTAAGCATCCAACTCTTGTTTTCAGCTCCAATCATAATCTCAGGGGCATGAGATCAAGCCCCATGTCAGGCTCCATGCTCAGCATGGAGTCTGCTTGAGATTCTCTCCCTCTGTCCCCCCAAATAAAATAAATTAATTAATTAAAAATCTTTAAAAATAAAATAAAAATCAAATTTTTGTCTTTTTAATGTGAATAGAGATATGCTGTCACCTACAAAGGATTTTAAGGGTAGATATGAACCATAGACTATTCAAAATGTCTTTAGTAGTCTCTAAAAATCAAGATTGGTAGTAATAGCAGAGATAATGGACATTTTACTTGTTTCTTGTTTACTTTTACTTATTGTGTGTATACCCAATCCTGTCATTAATGTACATTATAGGAAGGTGGGATTTAAAATCTTCTGCCTCAAATACTTTGAATTGGACCTGCTATTGTACTTTAAATGCAATTATTATTGTGGAGTGCCTGGGTGATTCAGTTTGTTAAGTATCAGACAATTGATTTCACCTCAGGTCGTGATCTCAGGGTCTTGAGATTGAGCCCTGCTTCAGCTCTGTGCTATGCGTGGAGCCTGTTTAAGATTCTTTCTCTCCATCTCCCTTTTCTCTTCTCCCACTACTTGCACGCTCTCTGTCTCTCAAAAAAATAAAAGAAATAAAAATAAAATTAAAAAGAGGGCACGTTCTGCTTGGAGCACTGGGTGTTATACGCAAACAATCAATCATGGAACACTACATCAAAAACTAATGATGTAATGTATGGTGATTAACATAGCATAATAATAAAAAATTAAAAAATAAATAAAATTAAAATTAAAATGCATTTGTTATTGTACTTAGAATGATGTATGGCTCAAGGAGGCATTTAGTTGAAAAATTCTTCCCTATTCTGCTGTATAGAGACACTACTACAGATATTCAGATAATTTAATCCAGTTTTCTTTCTATGTAAATTTGAACCATGGTCAACTAACACTACAAAATTTTGCTGATTCCACCTCTGAATGTTCAAATCCTCATCTCTCAATTGGATAATTGAAGTTGGCCCTTAACTGATCTCCATGATTCCCATTTCTCCCCATTCCAATTTTTATTTCACATCAAAGCAAGAACCCGGATGGGAACATTCTACTTACTCTCCTCCAATTGCCAAGAAGATATAGTCAACTTTTACTATGCATCAGCACCACTAAGATAGCTTTCTAAAATGTAGGTTCCTCAGCCTCACCCCAGGGATTTGATTAATTAACATGGGGGTAGAGCTGACATTTATGAATTTTAACCAGCTTCCAGATTACTCTAATGTACGAGCTCTCTTTACCACACTGAAAAGCTGTGGCATAGTGAATATAGCTCAGAGTCTTTATCAGGGCTTTCAGCATTCTCTAAAGAGTGAAATGAATCCCTATTTGGGAATTAAAGGAACTCAGTTCTGATATTATCAAGTTCAACATATCAGAAGCTATTGTAAGTACTGCATTAAAATAAATGCAGGTTTTCATAAATCTAAAAGGTCCCAGAAAGCTAATAGGCTACTTTGTTGGCTGTCTTAGTACATTTGGGCTACTATAACAAAATACCATAGACTAAGTGCCTTGTAAACAACATAAATTATTTCTAACAGTTCTGGAGGCTGGAAGTTCAAGATCATGGTGCCAGAATGATTGTACTCTGGTGAGGCTTTCTTCCTGGTTTGTAATCAGTGCCTTCTTGCTGTATCCTCACATGGTGGAAAGGGTGAAGAATCTCTGTAGAGTCTCTTTTATAAGAATCCTAATCCTATTCAAAGATTTCAACATATGAATTTGAGGGGGTTAGGAGACACAAGTGTTTAGACCATAGCATGGCCTATGGGTGTGTGTGAGAGTCAGGGGAGATTAATGACAGAAATTCAGTTAAACTATATGTGGAAGTCTTATATTTGTTCTTTCCTAGAAGTAAGAATCTCTAGGTTTGTTGCCATTCACTGTGAACACTACTTCTACTATGTCTCTGACTCTTTTATGCCCCCCTCAACTCTAATGGCATATCACTACCTTCCCTTACTGCCTTTTCCTTTTAGGGTCTCCAGTTGTTCTGATGGGAGAGTGGATTGGGGGATATTGGGTAAATAGTGCAACATTTGGGGGTACTAGAACACATGACATGGGTTCAGTACAAATGTGCACTAACCAATACTTTGAGCCACTTGGAGGGAGGGGGTAAAAAAATTTCAGGTAGATAGACCACTGTGATTTTTGATAAAGTAATTAACTCTTCAAAATCCCATTGTGGAAGGGAGCAAAATGAATTCTACAACTTATTTGTTTTTTTCTTCCTACAACTTATTTGAATCTGAATATTTTATCAAATAGTCATAGTTCAGTTGCTAAAATGCTTCTCCCCATTTACTGAAAGCTGTTTACATAACAGGGTTTCATACATGTTTGCTGAAATATATTTTCTACCTCGATGCCTTTTTTCAATGCTTCTACACAGTGTTATATTTTAAGTGAATATCAAATGAAAGATATTGTGCTAGGTTTTCTTTTTTCATTTTAATTGGTCTTAATTAAACATTGATTTTCCCTTTACATTTTTCTCATATCCATGGCTCAGATACATTCATATTATTTATTAGTAGCTTTGAAAATAATTACTGAATGAAACCATATTAAATATGATCTACTTTAGAGTAGTAAATAGAGGAAGAATACTCCCTGGCACTGTACAAAAACCAACATAGAGATTAAAAGGTTTCCTACAAAGCCTGGCCATTAGGGTTTGGCAACTTGCAATGCAATACCCATCTACAGACCAGACCTTTTGGAGGATGTCCATCTTTCTGCCAAATGCAAATATGAATTTGTACAAACTCACACCCAGTTGTATTCTGTTTTGAAACCTGCTACTGAAGGAACGTGCATATATGTTAATAAAGATCACCCTCAGATCAGTTCTTTCAGTCATACTAGACCCATTGCTATGAAAAAACATTGAGATATGTTCCCTTAACTAGAATATTCCATTAAACAACGGTATCCAGACAGTTTGAAAGGCAGTGATATCTTGTGTTTATGGTGACCATTCAGGGCCCTGGAAGACATTAACATACATTCAAAATACTCAAAATAAAATGTAAGTAGGCTCAGTATAGTTTTAGCATTGCACATTTTTATTTATTTTATTATAGGTCTTCAAAAGTTAAGAATTAATGTATGGTAAATGTATAAACTGACTGTTAACCAACAATATATTA